ATTGTAGCTCTAGTAATAAATAATAATGTAAGGATTCTGGATCAGCACATGATGCCCATAGTATATACAGTATTCTGAAAAGGTCTAAAATGTCCCTGTGTGTGCGTGCATGTGTGTGTTTTATTTAGATGGATTTTTTTTTAACAGTATTAATCATGATATAATATTGTGCAGACATGCCTGGTAAGGACATGAGGAGGAAACAGTAGGAGCTGTGTGAGGCTACTAAAGGCAGTGCTATAACATTTTTCTGTCATCACTTTATTATAGATTAAGTGCAAGAGTTGTTAGGTGTGGATAATTAGATTATAGTTTATTGCAATAGCAAGTTGTCCTTGTTCTCAGATAGACAGCAAGTGGAGAGTGATATATGAAATGATGGGATGGAAGGAAGAAGAGAAGCAAAGAGTGATTCACAGTCTAGTTTATTTCTCAGTTTTTTTGTTGCCTTATGGTTCCAAGTGCTGTCACCAATCTTTGCATTTTGTTATTATTTCATGACACTTGTTTAATCAGCTACCATCTCTCCTGTGGACTTTTTACTGTCTACAGTCTCAGATCAACACAGCCCGCCCTCCAGCACTATCAGCAGCAACCCCTCAACAGCAACATTGTACCATCAGGTAAAACATTGGCTACGTTTGCTTTGCCTTGTTGCCCATATTAGATTCTTGATGAATGTGTGTTGTTGTTATTCAGCCTGGTTCAATGTGCCCCTTTTTAACTTTGAGCACCCGCCCTTTAAACCTCTCTGCACGGCCCTGCATACATCCAGCTGTTGTGGCAATTGATTTGGCTTTGTGATGCATAATGCACAACTAAAATAAAACAATATTTCAGAAAACACAATATTATACTTTACAGCTTTCATCAAAAATAATTCAAATGTCGATGTAAAGTGGATTTATGTCGAAGCCTGCATATTAGACTGTGTACAATCCATTAAATAAGCTTACCTGGTCTATGTAGAAGGCCGTCCCCGATCGAATCTCTCTCCTCTGTTTGAGGTCGGTCTCTGTGGTGTCCCTGGACAAAGCGACATACTCCACTTCCCGTTTAGTCAACTCCTAGTCAAGAGCAAGAGAACAAGTTTGGCTTGTTAAAAGTTAAAAGCATATTCTCTGGCTTATCTGATGCCAAATAATATGATAGAATTGTAAAAATAAATCAAATTACTATGCGTATCCTGCAAAGACACTCCTAGTCCATCGTTTATTAGAACAAACCTGGTAGAGCACAATTTACTCTTTACTTTGGTGCCGAATTTGTATAAAAGTTTCCATCGCACTATTAGAATGATACAACTTTATATTTATCTTATTAAAGCTATGCAATGTTTTAAAACTGCATTTACATTTCACTACTTTTGACTGTATGAACTTCTGCACTTTCTGAATTTTGCCACTTTGACAAATAATCGTTCTAAGGATGCTGCACTAGAATAAGACCTGTGTGGGAGTTACTGTGAGCCATGTACACATTTCCACAAAGGTCAGTGAATTTACTTTAGGCAAGCCACACGGTCAAGCTCAGCCACGATCCCTGAAAATCAGCAAGTGCTTAGTTACTCCACATCTGCAAGTCGCTTTGCAACCAAAGCCAAAACTATGGCATCTACAATACTGAACCGCAGTTCCATCTTCCATATCACGGTAATGTTTAATGATTGTTTAGCAACAAGTGAGCAGGAAAAACATCAGAATAATGGAGTTTTTAATTTTTGTTCATGGTTCAGTCCTAATCACATGATCAAAACTGTGGTTTAAAGAAAAAAAAGAAAAAGATACTCCTCTTTTATATTGAGTGTTTCAGTGTGTAACATGGAGGACTCACAAGGTACTGCATAGCTATGGATCTTCTCAGGGGTCCTGGGGGCCAATGAGGAACACATCCTGACCCAAAAGGTCTTTCTGCATAATCCATCGGAGGTGTTGAGCCACCGTCTGAGGTAGGGAGTCTGAAACTGGCCAAAAAAAAAAGCAAAAAGGAAACGTTTTATGCTGACATACCTATAGGCTTTGTTGTGACATACACACACAGAAGATTACCTACTGTGTTTCACAGGAACAAGCTCTGGATTCTGGGGTGGCTTGAGTTTGTAAGTGATCTCACCAATCTTCACTGTGTCACCTGTAAAGGAACAGGATGACCAATGCATGCACGATGGTTTTTGACAGACAAGTCAAGTCATAATCACAACAGTAGAGTTGATTTTATATTCACATTAGTGTTAGTCTTTGATGAAGGTACAATAAAAAATAAAGATATAAAAAAAAAACACTTCTCAAACAGTTTCGGTTTAACAATATGGTTTTATTAGATTTGCAAATCACTGCATTCTGTTTTTATTCAAATTTTACAGTGTCACAATCTTTTTGGAAACTGTTCACTTACTTAACTTTTGACTTGCATAAGTTTCAAGTATATAAAAGGCAGCTGACTCAGGGGTATGAATCAGTGTTGTGCACTGTGTTGTCCCCCCCCCTGGCAAGACTGTCCTATGTTGGTAATAATGTAGTAAGGTTCCAGAAAACCTGGTGCGAATCCCTGTGGTGCATCTCAGGGTGAACATAGAGACAGGCAACAGTTCACACACTCTTGCATGATCTAATAATTATTTGTCTTTCCTGAAGTTTGTCAATGCTGTCATTTTTCTGTAAAGCAAATTTACCTTGCCTTTAGGTATAAATAAAGTTACCTTACCTTTGCTCTCAAACTTAAGATTTACTCTCCCAGAATGGAAGCTGCTTCTGCTCAGCTCTGCTGAGAATCAATAAAGCAATGGTCGGGACTTCCAGTCAATCAATCAATAAATAAATTAAAACATGATTATAGAAATCAAAATCTTATTTGCTTTTCATATATCCTATTTTCAGTGATATCAACTTTAATAGCAGAAAATTAACTAGGCATATAATTATTTTTTCTCTCTTTTTTGCCATATTTTTCAAGTATCCTTCGTGAAGCCTGGAGAACTATTCCTGAAGACTATTTAAAGAATTTACATGAAAGTTGCCCAAGAGAGTTATGGCTAATGAATGAAGGTGATCATACACACTTTGGTTTTGCCTTAAATACTGTCTGTATAATTTCCTTTCCCATTTTCCTATCAAATTTCTAAAGAAATGAGCGGCAGCCCAGGACTTTTGCACAGCACTGTAAATATAAAATTGAGTTATTTGTATTAACTATTACAAAAGGTTGATATTAAGATGCAAGTTTCAGCTTCAGGTTTAATTAGCATACATCGTTAACTAAGATTTTGATGTAAATCAGGTTTTAAAAGGTGTCCGGAAAAAAAACAATACATTTAAAATGGTGTTTGGAACTAAATGTGACAGAAGTATTGCCGTTATTTCAGCATGCTCCAGTTTAAAGAGCAACACGTGTGTTATACGTGGCTAAGTACCATGTTCCAACCTTTCACCTAGTGCAAGGTAAATGCATCGACTGTCTCACTAGATCACTTCTCACTTCAGATGCTGAGCTTACACCGTTTTCCTCTACGTGGAACAAACTATATATTCAACAGTATTTTTGCTACCAAGGAGCCACCGCAGTGTGATTCCTGCCCCATTAGACAACAGCTATTTATTTAGCCAGTTAGCTGTCACCAGACACGTGTTCCTATTTCCAGCTGAAAACAAACTGAAAACACCTGTTCACTGGCTGTATACGTGGCATTACAACTTAAATGAAACAATGAAATGAAACAAGTGAAATGGCATTACAACTTAAAGGCCGGTTACCTGAGGCTGTGTTCAGAAGTTTGACCTCATGAGTTCTGAACATCCAGCCGTCTCTTCCCAGGACACAACCCAAAATATACCGCACCCTTCTTGCAGCAACAGCCGCAGCTGTGCCGCCACATAAAATTTGGGAGTGCATGTTCAAAATGTCTACGTTATCATACAAAACCTAACAATGAAAAAAATTAGCAGGCTGTCTTTTAAAACGGTCTGACCCGCGGCCTTATTCCCATTTCACAACAAGCGTCAGCTCATTTTTTCGGAGTCGGAAATAAATAACAGAAGGACCAAATGGTCCGACAAACAAGTCTTCCGTGGGAATACCATTTTAATTGAAAAGTGTTCCGTTCGCGCCGATAATTTTTGCAATATTACTAAGATTCTGTTGTTTAAAAAAAGCATAGTTTTGTTTAGTAATATTTTAGGTTATTAATTTGGCACCTGGTTGTTTCAACTGGCTTTGGCTAATAAAGAAGCTACAATATTGTTTATTGAAAATAACATTTTTTTGTCTTTTGGAATATGTTATGCCCAAATAACTCTTTACAATATATTCTAATTTTAGTGGCTTTATTAATCTGAATCTATTCATTTATTTGCTGATTCTGCTGTCCCCTCTTCAAATAAAATCCATTCTTGGATTCAAGTTTTTAAAGTAGAAGTGGACATAACAAATAAACACATGCTGAACCATCTAACAAGGTAAATACCAATTTAACATTGGTGATGTTAAGTGGTAAATCCTGCATGATTAACCATGCAACTCCTCCAATTCTCTAAACGTAAATTTTAAGAAATCGCTGCTAAAAATTATAGAAAGTTCTGGAAGTTCATTGTCGAGATTATCCCGTAGTTATAACCATTTTTGTTAACTCACAGAAATGTCCTTTTTTAAATTTATTTATTTTACTGTGGATGCATTGTATTAAAAAAAATAAAACAACATTAAAGTAGATAGTGAAAAAACAGGAACTTTTCTCTCATTTAATTATTTTTTTTCTCTTTCTTCATCACTGTGCTGTAGTATGAATGGCTTGGAGAAGATCTTTATCAGGAGGACAAACTTTAAAATGTACCAAAATACAGTTGAAAGTACTAAATTTATCCCCTCCTTCACATTTTCCATAGACTACAAATGGGACGGATTGGAGTCTTTGCTGTCCAATTCTGGCCCCCTGGGCCTTATGTTTGAAAGCCTAGAATTAGATTATCAATATAGCATATTTAGAAACAAAACTTTACAGAAAACACAACAATAACAATATTATAACAGAACAAAATTGATCCGGGAGGAGATAGAAACCCCAGCCTCAGAGAGTCTCAAGCTAGTGCACTCCTTCTGTGCCAAATCAAACACGTGGCAACCCCTGGGAGATAAGGAAACAGCCAAAGCACCTCTTTATATTTACAAAGCAAAGCACTGGCCGAAGCTGTGGCGAAGGCAAGGGTGGCACCAGCGCCATGTGAAATATTCAATTCAATTCAATTCAATCTTTACGTCCATATTTTAAAAAGAACAATAACACAACATATAAACCATAATAAAAATGATAAAATCTTTTTTAAAATAAAACCATAATATACATAAAAACCACAGTTACTTAAAAAGAAATCAATAAATACACAAACAACCAGTCCTTCCTCATGCTGGATGAGTAATGGGAACCACTCACTGTCTGATCTGTGAGTGCTAAAATTATACTCTTAGCCATCCAGTCGTTCTCTAAAAGTAAACATTAACTTTCTTAAAAGTGCTTTAAAAGTGCAAACACCCACAGCTACAAATATCTGCATGTTATATGATGGCCCATCGTTCACATCTGCACGTAGCTGGACTGGCCATCGGGCATACAGGGCATTTGCCTGGTGGGCCGATGGGTTTTTTATTGTTTTACTCTGATGTTTGGTGGTGGCTATGGCGGAGCTTCCACAGAGGCCAGCAGGTGGATGAGGGAAAGTGGAGGAAGGGACCCGTGGTGGCCGCCGGGTCGGCCGCGTTTCGTATTGGGCTGAAAAGGAACGTGATTTGTCCCGTACTTCATCTAGAATGAAAAAAAGACACAAAGCTGGAGTTACTCTGTGTCTTTACACTGTCAGCTGCTCTTCTTCTCTCATTCTCTCTCCCTTTCTCTGCTGTTGCTACTTCAGTCACGAAACTGGCTTTTCTCTCTTGTTTGTTTATTGCCCACTTCGCGCCAGAAACAGGAAACCAGCAGTGGTTGCGCTAAACAACAGCAGCACGTTTAACCTTGATCAGCTGTTGTTAGAATTTATTAAATATTACTCTCTAGTATCAGCTGATGTTGCTGGAGCCACAGCTGTAAAAGCTGCTGGTCATGATATGTGGTGAGAGGGAAACATGAAGATGAAAACAGGAGATGTCCTTACTGAATCATCAGAGCTGAACAGTGATGGAGAAACAGGTTTACCTTTTAGTGACATGAATGAGTTGAAGGGAAGTTATAAACTGTTTCTGAGAGACAACTTACACCAGGATCCTTTTTTACGTAGCTGACAGCTGGTAACTGTGCAGGGGCGGGTCTAGCAAAGTTTTGCCAGGGGGCCAGGAAGGGCATTAACAGGGAAAAGTGGGCATAAAGAAATACTTTACTTTCTTATATTCATTTAAAATGTCTAGCTTTTAACAAATAATTATCTGAATCTTACGACCAAAGTTTTTATCAGATGTAAAATGTATAGAATTCATACATATATACCAACAAGACACTGTACATTAGTGTCACAACAGCATTTTGTTTTTATTTTATTCTTTTACCTGGTGGGCCGGTCTCGAGTCAAAATGCCCGGGCCGATTTTTTGTCCCAGTCCAGCCCTGCATCTGTACCATTACTTCAGTACAATTATGACCTTCCTCTAGGTAAAGTACATAATGTACCCTTTGTACTTGTAAGTAATGCTTAATGCTTTCAAAAAAATCCGAAATATTCGGAATTCCTCTTGGAGTTGTTGTAGGTACTCCCTCTGTAACACTGTAGTGTGTATGGTCCAGGTTACATATTTATTCTTCCTATGAAACTAAACAATGCTTTCCATAAAGCAACCTACAACATTATCATCAAACTAACGTCAAACGAAGTGTTCGGAGCTGCCAGAGAGTAACTGGAGGGGCGTGGGTTTTACTGGACTGAAATGACACGAAGAGTGGGGGAAAATCTGAGAACACTGAGAAAAAAAATCTATGCTAACTAAATCCGGACCGGCAATGATTATAGATGACGTCATTGAAACTACCCTCACAATTGTGCTCACACGTGCACACAGTTGGATTACACACATTCGCGCCCCCCCCCCCCTCGCGAGCGAGCGGTGCCGAACGAGCCCCGGCAGTTTAAATCGCTTTGACATTTATCACGTGTAACGCCAATAAGCCCGGTTCTTGAAAGAAGAGAGAGAACGTCGCGGAGGAGGAGGAGAAGGAAAGGAGCGGACAGGAGGAGGAGAGGAGAGCGGTGGGAGGACGAGGCGAGTGTGTAGTCCAATCTGTTCGGTGTGCACATGAGTGGCGTAGCGAGGCCAGTGAGCGCGAGGCAGGTTGTGAATTCCTCCACCTTCCTTCCCTAATTCGTTTCTTTCTCTCCGGAGCGAACGCTGAGGTCTGGACTATGGAAGATGTCTACCCTTACAGCCGCAGCCCAGCCTGGGAGGAACTGGTTAGTAACGTTCAAAACTGGTGGAGACTTTGTTTTGAATCGCTCCGCATCCCATTCTACTTTGAGTTTTTCCAGAGAAAGGAAAACAGTGAGACGTCTTGCGTGGTCTGTTTGTGAGTTTGCACACTTTGGCGGTGTTTGGTCCGCTAAAGACTGCGCGCGCGCCTTTACCCCCTCATTGGCGTTATTACGACGGGCTGTCATTCTGTTAAATAAATAAATAACTAAATAAGTGGCCCGTTTAAACTGTGTCGTGGGACGTTCGTAAGTCTTAGTTAACAGTTCTCAGATAAACAAAAGTTTTTTGATTCTTTTTTCACCCACACAGTCTGTCCATTTCCTTTAGTTTTAAATCGAAGTAAAACTGTTGTCCGCTTCATGGAAATTCAATTTAACGCTGTCTTGTCAAATCAGTTTAGCGGTTTAGTTACATACATAAAAGTGAGTTATTTGGACTTGGATTATAACACGGAAAAAATTGTATATTTATAGAAAAATATTGAAAAAAATACAGAAAATATGCCTTTGTGGCCTATATGTTCATAACTCCTATATAGCTCTCATTAGGCCCACAACAGCAGCTATAAATAGAAACAAATATTATGAGACTATTTCTATGAATTACAGTGCCACTACCATATAACTCTTAGTTATCACTGTGATGTGTATATTAGAAACCTACTTATAATAGTCTTTGTGTGCATATTAGTTATTCAACATCACATCAGGCAAAAAACAACAACTCAAAAGTAGTTTAATTTCTCTCGTGTTTGTGTCAGACAGCCGCTAGGGTCTGCCATTCCATGGCCAAGTTCCCGGTTTACGGAGTGGATGAGGCGGTCTGTAGCCTCAGTCTGGACTGGCCGTGCAGGCTGGAACCATAACCAGCAACAAAACAGAGACTCGGCTCCTTTTTTAATATCTATATATAAACGCCGTGTAGCCCATCCCCGCTGTGCCGCGACATGCTACATCCCCTATGCGTTTCCCGGCCCACACACACTCCAGCAAACACAGCCGTCTTTATTGTCATAGAGGCAGTGAGAGATGACAGCGAGGAGAGACGCTTCCCAGCCGCTGAGCAGCTCTCGCCTCCAGGAGAGGAAGGGGACGGCGGAGGCGAAGGCTAACCCCGATTGGTTTTATCCCTCCCCTCGACAGGAGCCGGAGAAAGGGCCGCCGTCCGCGGCGGGGATCCATGCCCATGTGGTGGGCGCTGTCGCCGGCTCCGGCGCTACGGAGGAGTCCTCCGATAGCGAGGCAGAGCAGGAAGGCCCCCAGAAACTCATCCGGAAAGTGTCCACCTCAGGGCAGATCAGGAGCAAGGTAAGGCAACTGTCGCTTCTCTGCTTGTATTGATATCTGATTTAGTGTGTGTGTTTGCTGGGACTAGCTGCTCCCTGGCTGCTGGGTTATCCTCAAGCAACGTTTGCTATGACAGCACCAAGGATCTACCTGCTGCTTTGGACATTCAACAGTTTCATTTGTGCGCAGAGCTTTATTGTCTTTCAGCCTTACTGATGCCTAGATACCAGTAAAGCGAAGTAAGAAGCAAGGATAGACTTATATTTAAGCATTTACATGT